TGAGGGGGTGGCCTGTCAGCCATCACAAACCTTGCTCGTGTAAATAGTTATCTCTTTACCTTGTTGGATTGAGTTATCTCTACCCCAAAAATGAGAGCATTTAGCTGGTGCTGTGGGGTGAATTGAGGAGGACTTGGTGCGGGGGAGACCATAAGTAGCTTAGACCCAGACCTCCCTTGACTTCTACAATTGAGGGTATAGAGAGATGAGGCAGGTCCCACCACACCTCAGTCAAACCTCAGCAACCCTGAATCCCCAGGTAGATTGGTAAGTATCCTATTTAGTCAGCTTGCCTGCATGAGACAGTGTAGGACAGTGTTTAGCAGTGTGTCCCTGGGGGCTGGAGCATCCTGGTTCCATTCTTGATTCTAGCACTTAAATAATTGCATGACCTGGGCAGGTGGCTTAATGTGCCTGTGCCTCAGTTGCTGCACCTGCAACATGGGAATGAAAACACAAGTTATTCACTCAACAACTATTTAGAAAGCATGTTCTACATGCCCAACCCAGTGCTAGGCACTCGGGACACATCAGAGAACAAACCTATAGACCCCTGGCCCTGTGGAGTTTACCATTGAGCAGGGAAAAGAGACAATTAGCAAACACGTAAATAGATTATAGGGTGTGTCAGGAGGGGGATGGGGACTGGATGATAGAGGTGGTAGTTTTAAATAAGGTGGTCAGAAAGATTTTCTGAGATGGTGACGTTTGAACAAAGACCCGAATTATGACAGAGAGTGACATGTCTATCTGGGGGAAAAGCATTCTAGGCAGAGAGAACAGCAAATGCAAAGTCCCTGAGGGAGGAACATGGAATGTTTAGGAATATTTAAGGGGTAGCAAGGAGGCCAGTGAGGGAGGAGAGGGCTGAGGGATGAGGTTGGCAGAGTGATGGGGGCAGATCAGCTGGGGTCTCATGGGCCATGGAGAAAACTTTAGCTTCACTATGCGTGAGGCAGGCAGGAGCCACCGGAGGAGAAGAGGGACACCATCTTATGTGACATGATGTGACCCAAAGCATCAGTGAACTACCAAGAATGGACTGGCAAGATCAGCCTGGTTGGAAGGAGAGCCAGAGTCCTCTTCTTAAAGCTGCACTCATATATCCTTTCTATTTGGGGGAAACTTCGGGAAGGGGATGTTGGTAGTTTTTGAGGGGACAAAGCCACCTGCTGGTTCATATGCTGTTGGGGAGGGAAGAAGGGAGGGCAGCTACAGACATGCAGATAATAAACAGGAGAGGCAGCTGTCCACTCCTTGGACCCTGAGGCAGCTTGGACTCCACTATTTCCTGGCTGTGTCCCTTTGTGCCAATGACTTAACCTCTCTGGGTCTTTAGTTCCTTTATCTGTTAAGTGGGGCTTTAAAAAAAAGACTGTTGTGAGAATTAAATGTATTAAGTGCTTTGATCAGTGCCTGATTCAATAAACGTAAGGAACCTTACCCCCTCGCCCTACATCCCGCACTTTCACAGGCTCAGGCCTCCATCAGGGCGGCAAGGAAAAGACATTCTGTCTTATTCTGTGTTTATAAGTTGGTTTGTCAGTGTAGTGTCTTGGAAGAGAACTGAGCTCTGGGTTCAAATTCCTGGCTAACAAACAGATGCTCTGCTACCTGGGCAGTGATTTCCTTGAACCCTGCCCTGCATCTGAAAAATGGATAATGATGCTTTCTTGCCCCAGATGTGTTATTTTTTAATTCAGATATCCACCACTTTCTGTTGTAATGCCGCCACCCCCCTCCCGTTTTCATTTTCTCCAAATGTTCTGTTTCACTAATTTATCTATTGTCTCACTCCCCCCAAAGAATGTCATCTTTACCACAGATTTTTTTTTCTGTTCTGTGCTGTATCTCCAGTTTCTAAACAGGGCTTGTCAGCAGGTAGTTGCTAAATAAATACAAATTGAATAACTAGATAAATGAACTGGCCACTGAGAACCTGCTATGTACTATCCCTGTGCTGGGTAGTAATGGGGACATTAGAAGTGACTGAGACAGCCTGGCCCTGCTCTCATAGGTTTCAAAATCCAGTGGGAGAAACATCCATCACTAGGCAGTGACAGCCCAGAGTGGTAAAGGAGAACCTCAGGGGACTGTCAGAGCCCAAAAGGGGTACCTGGACCAACTAGTGGGTAAGGGAGGGCTTCCTGGAGTAGGTGGTACATGGGCTGATAGGAGTAAGCAAGATGAAAGGTGTGTGAGGCAGGAGAAGCTGTGGGAGGGTTGGTGGTAAAAGTGGTTTCAGTTCAAGGAACTGAAAGTTATTAAAAATGGCTGGGTCACAAAGGATAGTAAAAGTAAGTTATTAGGGGAAGATCATTCAGGATTCTGAGACCCACCATAAGGATCTGAGACTTTGTCCTGAGGACACTTGGGGGCCACGGAGATCTGCTGGGTGGGGATGGAGGATAAGTCAAACTCAGATGGAGGGGGAATTGGAAGGGTTGAGTGAAGGCTGGGAAGGAGGTGGCTGGAGTCTAGGTTGAGGCCATGGGAGAGAAAAGGGGTGGGGGGAGAGACCCTCAGGAGGCCAGCTGGACACATGGGGGGCCCAGGACAAGGCTCAGGGCTCCTGCAGAGTCAAGGAGGGCTTTCTGGAGGTGGCACACAGGCTGAGACCTGAAGGTTGGGTAGGACAGCTATCCTTGAAATGATGACCCAGGGGAGGAACAGACTTGGGGGAGATGCTAAGGACAGTTGGGGGCATAGTGAGTAAGAAGGTTGGGGACACCTTGGGGGAGGTGTCTAGAAGGTCATGGGACTTCCAGAGCTGGAGTTCAGGGAAGAGGTAGGAGTTGGGGATGGCTTTGAAGTCAGAGAGGGGAACTGAATCTACAGTGGTGGGGAAGGTCACGGGCCTGGCCATGTAGGGCACTAGAGGACAAAGTAAGAAGTTTACACTTTGTCCTGAAGGCAATGAGGACCCACAGGGGGGTTTTGAGGAGGGAGGGGACTTAGATTTTTGAGTTCCAAATCAGAAATATTCACCATTCATGATGGCGTTTTTTTCTCTTTACCCATTTAATTGTTTTTCAGACCAGGCACCTTCTGCGGAGGGTCTTATGAAATAAAGGTTCTACTGCTAAAAACAAAAACAAAAAAGTTTGCAAAACTAGTGCTCTGTTGGACTTAACCACAGACAACTGATTGCTCAGTCAAAGGGGTCTGCATGATCAAGGGGAACCTGCTCCTTTAAACATGAAAACATTTCAAGTTTGAGCCGCACAGAAGGTCCAGGGGTTTGTGAGTTTCCTGTGGCGCGGCCTGGCTCGGGCTCGCATGTGCTTCGGCAGCTACGTGGCCGCACACCCTCCTTTGCACTCAGATGGCTTGAATCAACCTTGAATTTTACTCTCTGGCTGAGTTGCCACCACCTGCTCCTACCCCATCTGTTCTGAGCTTAGGACACAAGCCGGTTATCATTGTGTGTAAAACAAGTGTTGCTAGGTCTAGAGAGACAGCTAAGAAAGTCTTTTCTCAAAGGTTTCCATTCTACTCCATTCCTTCTGTTTTTAACAGACATTTCTTGAGTGTACAGTGTGCTGGGCACTGGGGGGTAGAGGAGTGAACCAGACAGACTTAGCTTTTCAAGAGACACATAGAAGATTATCTGGGATAAACTAGGGGACATACAGATCTCACCAGCCAGCTTGTATTGGAAGTTTACTGTGCTACCTGCCTGCCATGGATGGTTTCACTGACTTCCCAGCAAATGTGAGGTTGGTATATAAGTCTCCCAATGTACTGAGAATGAAAGGAAGGCTCAGAGATGCAGCGTCTTTTCCCAGTGACACACAGAGCTGAGATCTGAATGCAGGGCTATGGGACTTTGAGACCCACCCACACACACCATTTGGAGGTCTCCTAGCCACTGTGCCCCAGACAGTGTATAAAACTGTAAGATGATTCCCCTTTTATAGATGAGGCCATCCAGGGCTGAGAAGTAAAGCCCCATGCCTGAGGTGACTCACTAAGAAAATGACTGTGGGATCTGAATCCTGGACTCTCCAATCCAAAGCACTGCTGTGGAGGAGGGATCTAATCTCCCTCCCCACCCCCACCCCCACCCGAGAATGGGGTGTTCGGGGAGCTGTCCCAACATGTCTCGAAAGCCCAGTGGGTTCTGCTTCCTCCTTTTCTGCGGTCTGTGGCGTCACACAAGCAGGGAGGGTACAGGTCAAGAGGATGGAAGATTCTGTGGGCTGGAGGGGGAACACTTGCTGGCTGAGGTGCAAGGAGGTAGAGCACAAGAACCAGTCATTGCACTGGAGTCCTGTGGGGGCTTCTAGGAACCTGGGGACACAGGAGACAAGCCGAGGGCAATGCCAGCACCTGCCAGCCTGACTTTGTCAGCCCTGCTACTCCGGCCCACCTTGTTTCACCCTGCATGCTACCCCCAGGGATCTGGAGATGGGGAGCGCTGGATACTTCTCCAGCTGAACTCAGTCCTTCTCTGGAGACTGGGATGTGGGGGAAGGGACACCCCAGCTAGGAGCCAGAGCCTCATAGTTTAACTTCCATAGAAGTCCTATGTGCATTTTAAAAAGTAAATAGTAACTGAAATGCAACCATCTTGGCAGAGTTTAGGGGTGGTAATGATGCCTTTTTTCTTTTTCGGCTGTTAGCCTTGACACACCGTATTTATTGAGAACCTCTTGCATGCCCATTCTGTGCACTTGATATGAATTAATCCTTTAGTTCGAAGGATCTACCTGGATAGGTTTTATTTATTTAATCCTCACTTGATATTTTTTCCCATTGCTTTTCAGAGAGAGTGGAAGGAGGAGAGAAAGAGAAACATCGATGTGAGAGACACATTGATTGGTTGCCTCCTGCACATGCCCAGACCGGGGCTGGGGATCGAGCCTGCAACTGAAGATCATGCCCTTTGCCGGAATCAAACCTGGGATCCTTCGGTCCACGGGCCAGCACTCTAACCACTGAGCAAAACCAGCCAGGGCTACTGATTTTTTTTGGGGGGGGGGGTCTGTCTTTCCTCATGTCTGTTTTGGTCACAGCATTATCCCCAGTGCCTAAAACAATACCAAGTATACAGATACTCATAAATATGTGTAAAATTCATGAACAACCTTGTGAAAAGCAAGTGCTATTGTTACCATGCCCATTTTGCAGATGGAGAAACTAAGACATAGATAGATACATTGCCATTTTCAAGGTCAAACGGTCACATAAGTGTGAAGGCTCATATTCAAATGGGATATCTGGCTCTGGAACCCACCTCTCCAATACTAGTGTTCTTTTTAAACACCACAGGCGTTTTGCTTTGATGAAAATACAACAGAAGTTAAAATTAAACCCCTCATTACAGATCCTGTGATCACTATACAATTTCAAAGCCAAAAGGTCACTAAATTTCAGTGAACTTTCTCTATTTTCTTTCTATTTTTGGTTTATTAGCAGTCATCCCAGTTCCCCAGCCTCAGGGTGCTCGGTCCCATCCCTCACCTCTCCAAGCCTCACTGTTCCCTCCGTTTTGCTCTTCACCTCCACTTCTCTCATTTCACATCTGCTGTTCCAACGCCTTAGTCTTAATACATTTCTCACCAAGGCCTTTGCAAATAAGTAAAAGGCAAGTTTCCTGCCCCACGCCCCCCTCCTCCACCCTGAAACCCTGCTGCCAACCACCTTTAAGACTGTTATCTTCTGCTTCTGGTGACCCCTGGCATTTCAAATAACCTTGGTCCGTTGCCATTTCTTGCTGGATCCGTTTGCCCCATCTCCATTAGTCTCGGAGCAATGAGAGGAGGGGTCAAGCTGAGCTCTGGCATCCTGAAAATAGGAGTACAGTAAAATGCAACCCATCCCCAAGTCCCACTCTCAAGGCAACCACTTCTGACATTTTTTCTTCGCTCAACGATATACTTTTATGCATTTATCTAACTTCCTGCCTGGCTCTGGGGGAGGGGCTCTTGCCCCTCTATCATTGACAGAAGTGGGCGGGGAAGGGTTCTCTAATGTATATCTGCAGTTATGGCCTTAAATCCTCCTAGGGAACTGAGACTGGGAGGTGAGAAATCCAGCCTATCCCTCCAGCCAGAGCCTGGATTCAGAACCAGATTTTTTAAAATCCCTATAGGTTGACTTAAAAAAAAAAAAAAAAAAATCAAATACAAAGAGACTCCAACAGAAAACCCACCGTCTCCCTCCCCCACCCCGCTCTTCCCCTCCCAGCGCGTGGGCTGTTACTCAACCTTGATGTCTCCATTTTATTGCATAAGTTTTCAAACCATTAATTTGTGTGTTTATGTTTGACTAGGCAATGCATACCCGTGGCTCAAAAACTCACAAGGTTTGTAGACGAGAAAAGATGTGGCCTTTCTTTCTTTTAAAATCCTCACCCAAGGATACGTTTTTCATTGATTCTAGAGAGAGGGAGAAAGAAACACCCGTGGGTTGCCCGCAGAAGCACCCCTGCCGGCGCGAGCAGCGCCTAGGTGTGTGCTCGGCCCGGGATCCAACCGCAGCCTTTCTGCTTCACCGCAGGCGCTCCAACCAACGCGGCCTTTTCTCTTTACCTGTGGCTTCCCTTCCCCGCACAGGCTCTCGGGTGGGGTGTAGCAAAGCCCATCCCCCAGCCATGCACTCTCCCCACGCGGCCAGCTCGGCGGGACCCTACCTGGGGCGCTCGCCCCCCTGGTCGCCGCTGAGACGCGGGACTCGCGCAGACTCGCTGCTGCGGGGGGCGGATCCGCAGGAGTCCCCGCCTCCCTTCCCCTCGCCCCTGCTCAGCCTGTTGGGGCAGAAGCTGGGGCCCCGCGGAGGCAGCCGCTTGCAGACTGAGGCCGAGGCCCCTCCGGGGTAGGGTAGGCAGGATGGTTGGGGGCCGGGGCTGGGAGCTGGCGGGGAGGCCGGGATGGTCCTGGGCTCCCCGCCTGAGCTAGCTGGTGGGTACCTGAGGGTGCGACAGAGGAGCCACCTGGAGAATGCCCCCTGGGTCGTCCCAGGGCTGGGAAAAGATAGGCATAAAGATTTGGGGCTCCGCTGAGCCCATGCGGAGCTGTCTCTTTGGGAATGTCTAGATTAGAGCTCAGAGAAGGGAAGGTGCTAATGGGGGGCAGGGTGGGAGCTAAGGCGACGGGGCAGGGTGAGCCCTACAAGGGCAGCAGCGGGGCTGCCGCAGGTTGCTGGGGAGAAAGCAGAGGCTAGAGCTTGAGGAATTTCGAAATCCCTGCTGACCAGGGTCTGCTTCCTCCTTTTGGACTGGCGGGCGCAGTGCCAGTGACCCCCGTGATCACCAACAGTAAACCCAGTGGATCTCGTGAGCCCCAAGACTCATCTGCCTTCTATGATGTCTTCCAAAAGCCCAGAACACCCCCACACAGTGCCAGGTTTTGTTCCCACAGTTTGGAGACCCTGATACGCCCACCTTCCCAGCTGCACTCCGCGTTTCCCTTGGCCGCCTGGCAAGATGAAGCCTAAACTGATGTATCAGGAGGTAGGTGGATGGGGCCCCACTGGGGAGGGACTGGGTGCAGTTGAGAGTGAGGGCTCCCCGGTCACCCCCAAACCATCCCTGTTGTTTCTCAGCTGAAGGTGCCTACTGAGGAGCCTGCCGGCGAGCTGCCCATGAATGAGATCGAGGCATGGAAGGCTGCCGAGAAGGTAGGAGCCCACCGCCACCCTCAGCCTGTCTCAGGCATGGGCTGGGCTGTCCCCCCTGGGCTGGCTGACTGCCTCTTCCCGCAGAAAGCCCGCTGGGTCCTGCTGGTCCTCATCCTGGCAGTTGTGGGTTTCGGTGCCCTGATGACTCAGCTATTCTTATGGGAATACGGCGACTTGCATCTCTTTGGGCCCAACCAGCGCCCAGAGCCCTGCTATGACCCCTGCGAGTAAGTGGGGAGCCTCAGATGGTGGGGGGAGGGGCCCTGACAGGCCAGGGACCCTTAGACCAGGCAGGGCCTGCACTCAGCATCACCCAGTGCCCATGACTGTGAAGTGATCATAGACTCCCAAGTGCACCTTCACAGGCTCTTCCCTCCATGCCCATCCCCATCCCCATCCCCCCCAGCTGTTCCCATGGCAACCACAGCATCATCTCCTATCCAGGTCTGTGAAGAGACAGGCACACACAGACGCACAGAGCATCCTCCATCCACCTCTGTGGATGGCATCCACATATGCACCTTCTTTTCACACCTCTAGACAGACAAATGCATGAACTCAGAGAATCACGAGTACAGGCACACACAATACACAGTCTTCCATCCTCTGTGGGCAGACAAGTGAGCCGGTGGTCTCCAGCCCCCTATGGCTGATACCGCCCCTCCCCCTGCATCCCACAGAGCAGTGCTGGTGGAGAGTATCCCCGAGGGCCTGGACTTCCCCAGTGCTTCCACTAGCAACCCTTCCACCAGCCAGGCTTGGCTGGGCCTGCTCGCCGGGGCCCACAGCAGCCTGGACATCGCCTCCTTCTACTGGACCCTCACCAACAATGACACCCACACTCAGGAGCCCTCTGCCCAGCAGGTACCTGGCAACCTGGGCCCTAGTGGACAGCAGGAGGACCGTGGGAGGCATTGGGAATGGGGGTAAAAGGGGTTTCCCTGCAACCCAGGAGACAGGTAGGCATGTCTCATACAACGGGTTGGACGGAGGTGTTTGGAAGCAACAGTCTTTACATGGCCCCCTGGACCAGGGGCATTTGTCCTGGTTATCTATAGGCCTCTGAATGTATATGGATGTGGTTACAAAGGATTAGACTGGCAAATGTCGCTTACCCCCAAGCTGCCCCAACCCTGTCACATGAGGAAATGGAAGAGCAGAGTGAAAAACAGCCCTTCTAGCCAGGCTGCTGCTTCCCAGCTGTGTGACCTTGGGCAGGTCACTTCTCCTGACAGCCTTCAGTTTCCTCATCTGTGTAATGGGGCCAGTATATAGCACTCAGCCCTTGTGAGGATGAAACGGCTAATCCATGCATATTATAGCCCTTTGTAAGCATTATATTTTAGTAATTTTAAATATATATATATATATATATATATATTTATTGATTTCAGAGAGAGGAAGGGAGAGGGGGAGAGAGATAGAAACATCAATGATGACAGAGTCATTGATTGGCTGTCTCCCGCATGCCCCCGACTAGGGATCGAGCCCACAACCTGGGCATGTGCCCTGACAGAATCAACCGCGATCTCCTGGATCATAGGTCAGTGCTCAACTGCTGAGCATATCTGCCAGGTTATAAGCATTTTTTATTACAATATTCTTGTTATGGTCTGCTGACAAACTTAAAAACCATAAAGCTTCAAGGTTTGGAAAGAAACTGCCTAGGTGGATCACCCCTTCATTGAAAAAAATAGACGTTTCCCTTTTTTTTTCCCCCTCTCTGCTGCCTCAATCTGTGAGAAATGGGCTTAAAATTTATTAACATTGTGGGCCTTCTTAAGCAATGCTTAAAAAAGTTACGAAAGTCAGAAATGATAGGAGCTCACACTCCCTGCTGGCTCCCACTGGAGTGGTTCAAAGCACAAAGCACAGGCTTAGCAGGCAGTCTGGGCTCAAATCCTGCTTCACCACTGAATCCTCCAGAGCTCGGTTTCCTCATCTGCACCTTGAGGATATTACTCAGACCTGCCTCATGGATGAGAGTGGTGAGACTTCAATGAGTTTAGATGTGAAGGGGCTTAGAACAGGCCCCCCTCACAGTAGGACTCAGGTAATCATGAGCTGTTACTATTACTGTTATTGGCATCACCAAGCCTCACTTGTACCTTCCCGGACCCCCAGCCTGATCTCATCTGGAAGCCCAGTCTCAGAACAACCCCGTGGGGGTGCTACATGCGGTTGGAGAGCTGGCTGACCCAGCCCCTCAGAGGCTCTTATCTCCCCACAGGGCGAGGAGGTCCTCAGGCAGCTCCAGGCCCTGGCACCTCGAGGTGTGAAGGTTCGCATTGCTGTGAGCAAGCCCAGTGGTCCCCAGCCCCAGGCAGATCTGCAGGCCCTGTTGCAAAGCGGTGAGCTAGGGGCAGCTGGGGGTGGGCTGGGCCTGGGCTATCCAAGCCAGCCCCTGACCGCCACCCCTGTTGGTTGCAGGTGCCCAGGTCCGCATGGTGGACATGCAGAAGCTGACCCATGGCGTCCTGCACACCAAGTTCTGGGTGGTGGACCAGACCCACTTCTACATTGGCAGTGCCAACATGGACTGGCGCTCCCTAACCCAGGTCTGCCTGCACCCAGCCCGCCCACCTTTCCAGGCCACTCCCTGCTCCACAGGTGTCCAGCCTCCAGCTACACCCCTCTTCAGTCCCAGAGTTCTCTATCCAGTCCACAACAGCTTCCTTCCCATTTCCTACCAGGAACATCCCCACGTCCAGCCCTCTATTGCCCTCTGCCTGCTCATGGAAGCCTGGAGCTTTCTCTCATCCCCAGTGACAGCTGCCAGCCCCTGTGCAGGGCATTCAAGGCCCTGTTCACCCATTTGGCCTTTATTATTTATTCTTCTAATGCCTCCTCTAAGCCCAGCTCTGTTCTGGGTAATGCTGGGAACACGGTGGTAACAGATGGACCTCTCAGAACTCCCAGTCCAGTGCAGAGACAGGCAGTCACCAGGCAGTGTCAGCCCAGAATCAAGGCTGGGGTAGGGGAAGCACAAGCAGAGGGGTCCAGGCCAGGATGGCACCCCAACCTGGGATATCAGGGAAGGGCTCCCAAAGGAGGTGATAACTCATCTGACAACTGAAGGATCTGCAGGAATCAGCACAAGACAGGAAAGAGGGTATAGCTCAGGCGGTGATCATTTGCTCAGCCCCTAATCTCACCGACTCCTCGGGGAGATGCTGAACCTGCAGCTGTGGCTGAGACATCCTGGTGCCTGTCCTCCCAGTCCAATGGGGAGACAGGTTTGTCACCAGAGAGAGTGATGAGGGAAGCCCAAGGGACCATGAGAGCCTAGAGGAATGCCTGAAGTAGTCTGGGCCATCAAGGGAGGCTTCCTAGAGGAGGAAACTGTCAGCTGAAACCTAAGAATGAGTAGGAGCTCCCTCACTGTGCGGTAGAAGCAACAGCATATGCAAAAGTTGAGGAAACCTGGAGCTTGGAATGACATTGATTTTCACAAAAACTTGACTCAAGGTATTAGTCTTGAGACAAGTTCATGCCCATCCCAGGGCTTTAGATGGGGGACTGGGGGATGGAACTGAGGGGCAAAAAGAAGGGAGATGGACAGAGAGGGGGAGATTGAGAGGCATGGGAAGGAATGAGGGCTGCTGGTGTCCATGTCACCTTGGACACCAGGCCACTACTCCAGACTCAGCACTGCCCTCCCACAGGTCAAGGAGCTGGGCGTGGTCATGTACAACTGCAGCTGTCTAGCCCGAGACCTAACCAAGATCTTCGAGGCCTACTGGTACCTGGGCCAGGAGGGCAGCTCCATCCCATCAACCTGGCCCCGATCCTACGACACCCTCTACAATCAAGAAACACCAATGGAGATCTGCCTCAACGGCACCCCTGCTCTGGCCTATCTGGCAGTGAGTCTGCAGGAAGAGGGGCCTGTCATGCCCTCGCCACATGCCCTCACTCACAACCTCCATCCAGCCTCCTGGGAGCCCAGGGATTGGTGGGGAGGGGGTTCCTGACCACTAGCTCTCATTCCTGCTCACTCTGCTTAGTCAGTGGCCTGGACTATGTCCCAACCTCCCTAGGCCTCAGTTTCATCTAGAAAATCGATATCACAATGTTTACAATCTCTTAGGGCTTGCATGGACCCAGGCATACCTTCTCATTAGTCCTAAATCCAGTTGAAAATTCAGTCCCTCAGTCCCATTAGCCACATTTCAAGTGCTCAGCAGTCACATGTAGCAAGCAACTGCCACATTGGACAGTGCAGGACAGTGCAGGTACAGAAACATTTCCTTCTCTGCAGAAAGTTCTATTGGACAGTGTCAGCTATCGCCTGTGGCAGATACTGAGCACTCTAGACAAAGCACTGCTGTTTTTGTGTGTGGGGGTTTTTCTTAATTTTAAAAAAATATATTTTTTTATTGGGTTTTTGGTGTGTGTTTTTTTTAGAGAGAGGAGGGGAGAGGAAGAGAAAGATAGAAACATTGATGAGAGAAAAACATCAACATTGATAAGCTGCCTCCTGCACACCTCCTGCTGGGAATCAAGCTCAAAACCCAGGCATGTGCCGTGACTGGGAATTGAACCCATGACCTTTTGGTCTATGGGACGACACTCCAACCGAGTCACACCTGCCAGGACAAGGCACTGCTCTTTTTAGCTATTGATATTTTCACTAGTTTGTGTGGCCAACCTCACCCCCTTCAGTCCCCCGAAACAAGTCATCTGGCCAAGCCCAGTCATTCTGGAGGGCCACACAAAGGCACGTGGATGCTGGGGTCCTATGCTCCAGGGTTCTCCCTCTCAGAGCCTGAGTTTGCTTGCCTGTCATGAAAATGGAGAGAGCTGGGTAAAGGGCCTGGTGTGGCACGGGCACACGAGGAGTGCCATCAGGGGGGCCTGTGAGTGAGTCAGGGATGAAAGCAATTAGAGCAGAGGTCCTCAGACCTGAGCATGCATCAGAACCACCAGGAGCGCTGTAAAACCCAGCGCTCCCTCGGCATGCCATGTGTGGCAAGGCCAAAGAACTTGGAATTCTAATGAGTTCCCAGGTGATACTGTCAGTGCTGGAGCAGGGACCTTTTGTCATGAACCACTGGGTTAAATCATAAATTCTGGAACCAGACAGCCTAGGTTCAAATCCTGGATCCATTTATCAGCTGTGTGACTCTGGCCTCAGTTTCCTCACCTATGAAATGGCATCATAATCATCCCTCCCCTTCATTGAGGCTGAGAATTCAGTGAGACTGCAGGACCTGGCTAGTGAGGAGCTGTCTGTACATGGGGTCCATTGCGGTGGCACCCCTGGTACAGCACATGTCTTGACTGTCCCTTTGCCCCTAGAGTGCACCCCCGCCACTGTGTCCTAGTGGTCGGACCCCGGACTTGAAGGCTCTGCTCAACGTGGTGGACAGTGCCCGGAGTTTCATCTATATCGCAGTCATGAACTACCTGCCCACCATGGAGTTCTCCCACCCTCGCAGGTACTGCTGGGTGTGTGCACAGGGCCTGGGGCGGGGAGCCCTGAGGGTGGAAGAGGAGTGGGAGAGGAAGGGAAGGGGCTCAGAAAGCAGCCAGTGGAGCCAAAGCAAGGGGACGATGGAGGGGAAGCAATGGGGAGAGGCAGAGAAGACGGGTAACAGGGAGAGGGGGTCTCAGTGCTCGAGCCAGGGGAAAAAGGGACAGAAAAAGATGAGAATTTTGGTGTTAGGGGGCTGAGATGAGGACTGGAGGCCAGAGGCAGGGATGCAGGATTTCTGGGGGTAGGAAGCCGGGAGCACGGGCTAGAGACGGATGAGGGCTTGGGGAATGGGCGCTAAGAGTTTTCAGGTTTGGGGCAGTAGGGTTGAGGGACTCAGAGAAAGTAGTCTGGGGGCAGCAGACAAGATGATGGAAAAACTGGGTTTGGGGGGACAGGAATAGGAGCCAGAATCAGGGAGCAGAGGATGTGGTACTTAAGGAGGCAAGAACAGGACTGGGAGCCAGAGATGGGTGATCTGAGGGTTTGGGGGCTCTCAGAAGCTGAAGCAGGGCCCAGGCCTGGCTTCTTAAAGCTGAGGGTAAGGCTTATGGATAGAGCCACCCTCTGTACCCTGCACCCCCCCCCCC